TCAGGGGCCCCGCGGCAGGCTTTTATGCTATCTATGGAAAATATTAAATTGCACGGCGTCCAGAATCCATCAGAGCCACTTTCGGGTCAATCATCAGGGGATTAAGTGCTTTATTTGCTCCTGACTCTATGGCTCCAGCCCAAGGTTCCTCACCCTCAGCTCTACTGACATTCGGGGCCAGATAATTTTCTGATGTGCTGAGCTCTCCGGTGCATTAAGGGTGCTTAGCAGCGCCTCTTAACACTGACGATGACGCAAAAACATCTCTAAATATGGTGACCCTTGAGGCGTGAAGTTGCCCTGAGTTGAGGGCCTCTGGCCTACACCAGGGAGGCAGCTGCCCTGTGGGAAAAAATAGTCTGCAGCTGTGGGGTCCGTGCTCCGTGAATCATCACATCACCATTGGGTTGAGGGGCTTCTCGGTCCAGTGTTAATATCTACTGTTTCCAAAAATGTATTGTGTGCAACGCAGGATCCAGGGCATGTCGACTGGGGCTATGTCAAGGAAGAGTTTACCAATGCTCTCTGAGCAGAAGGCCTGACTGCAGGACTTCTCAGAGCATTTCCTGCCATTACGTAACTGTGACTCTCCAAGAGGGTCTACAGCTCATAGCTCTTTCCAGGTTTTTGTTTGTTTGTTTGTTTGTTTTTGCGTGCAGCCAGTGATGTTTGTTAGTCCTTTTTGGTGCTTAGTTCTATAGAATAGAATCTTGAAAACTTGGCCCAGCTTGAAGCTTTCTGCTAGTTCCCTGCCTTGACTCTGGGGACCCCTTAGAGCAGGGATCGTTTTTACCTTTTTCTTCAGGGTGTCCACTCTGTCATATCTTCAGAGATTGATCTGGAAGTTGTTTTGGCTTTTATTTTTTTTATTCCTCACTCAAAGATATTTTTCCATTGATTTTTAGAGAGAGTGGAAAAGAAAGGGAAATATATAGAGATATCAATGTGAGAGAAACACATCAATTCAGGGCACGAGGCTGGGAAGGAGCCTACAATCAAGGTACGTGCTGTTGACTGGAGTCGAACCTGGGACCCTTTGGTCCGCAGGCCGACGCTCTGTCCACTGAGCCAAACCGGCTAGGGCTGAAAGTTGTTTTGAAGATAGAGAAGCAGGCGTTGCACTGAGGTCAGAGTCCCGGCTCTCGGGCTGTCCCTCCCAGCTCGCAGGAGGCATGTGGCTCATTCTGTTAGGTCAGTGGTCGGCAAACCGCAGCTCACGAGCCACATGCAGCTCTTTGGCCCTGTGGCATGGGCCACGAAGTTTCAATCGCACGGTACGTGCGCACCCGCACGTGGTATTTTGTGGAAGAGCCACACTCAAGGGGCCAGTTTGCCAACCACTGTGTTAGGTCATCCAAACTCAGATGTCTACGGAGATGTCTCCCTACCTGGATCGAGCCTCCTGGTTGCATTTATGGGCTTACAGGTCT